AGATCAACGAGTCAACAGGGTCCTTGGGAGATTGCGATGATAATGCAGCCTCAGCAGCTATTCTCGGCCCTAATACCTTCTCGCCGACTGCACCCATTTGATACAGGTAACTTCATATGTTGTTGACGCAGGGATGGGGAGCGTCGATGAAGAATGTCGTTCTCACGGTGAATAGATCTTAGCGATCTCATAACGATGTTCAAGAGTTCTTGTATATCCTACAGCCAGCTCATCCATCTGTTGGAGATTTCTCGTCATCATTAGCGATTCCTTGTGAACAATTGTTTACATTACCCCGCCACCCCGCATCTGTGTGGCTGCTATTGTGCCATACTTTAGTTCACGATCGGGGTGATTGATAAGCCGGCGAGATCAACGCCGGGATTATAACGAGAAGCGGGTTTAGGTCTTGGCACAGGCATTCAGTAATCCACAGCCTGCAGTGCAACGGCTGGGTCTGCATTGATCAAAGGGCAGATATTAATATCAATGAACTCTAAATACTCTGAATTGCCGCCAAACGAACCGGTTTGGACTCGCTTATAGAAACTCTCCGAATTATCCCGAGTATTTCCTTGATTACTCCTCTATGTACAAGCGGGCCCATAAGTAAGAGTGGAAGATCCTTAAGAAGGTATTGCCCGAAACGATGCCATTGTAAGAAGGCCCAGATGGCAAGTGAAAGCAAGCTCAACGAGATGAAGTATTTCTATTACAAAGACTATGATGGGATGATTGACCAAGTATTATTAATCTAGGCACTCGAGGCAAGATAAAATTTCGAGGGGAGGCTGAAGGACGCGGAAGCGACCTTCACATTACACGAAGACGTTCTCCAACAGATACTCAATCTCTGTCGCCCTGTAGTTGTCCTCTTCGACATAAGCCAGACCCGTACGGTTAACATCAAAGACGATGTTGTTGGGCTCATCGACCGTGTACAATGGCCATGCAGGACCAGTCTTGGGGCCGCTGCAGACATTAGGATCGGTGTCGTGAATGAAGGCAACCCACATCTTGCTCATCAGATCCGCCAGCTCGACAAAGGTCTCTGGCTTTCCTGCGAAGGGGTTGGTAGCATAACCAATTCCGTTTACGTTGTTGAACACGAACGCGACTTCTTGGAAATGGGTCGCTCCGTAGACGGCCGCAATGCCGTTGACGTAAACGTTCCACAGATAAGAGTAGACAGACAGTCCGGCACCAGCATAGGTGCTGGCCAGGAGTCTGCGACCGCTGTGCTGTTGGTAGTCGCCGGCAAAGGCAGCTGCCCGCTTCCACTGAAGGCCGAATGGGTTCGCAGCAGGTCGGCCAACTTGAGAAACGGGGATGCCAACATCAGGATCGTCGGGGTAAAGCTCCGAGATGGCGGCCACCTGTTCGCTGTCCAGCTGAAGGGCAGTAAGCCAGGCCTGGAACTGCTCAGTGGTGTTGATGCCCTGCTTTGCATACGCGGTACCCTCATCAAAGTTGTTGCCGAGCAGAAGGGGAACGTGTGCGAACTTGCCCGCACCCAAGAGCTCGGATCCCTGAGCAGTGATGAAGTCGCCGTCAACCACAGCGCTAATGGTAGGCGGAGTTACGCTCAAGGGGTTGGTGCCGTTGTAGATGGCGTTGATAGTTTGCCAGGGAAGTCCTCGCAAGCAGCTCAGCTTGTCAGCGGCATCGGTACAGCCCGTCTTGTCGACGAGAGCATTGAACCACGGCTGCCAGTCGTCGGCGTCGGCGAACCTCGCGATGGGACTGCCACTCTCGAGGATGGCGCTGCGGAACAGGTTGTTGTATTGACCATCGTAGGCGACGAGCTGCATGCCCAAGGAACGAGCACCGGCAGACTCTCCCCAGATGGTAACCTTGTCAGGGCTGCCGCCAAAGGCGCCAATGTTCTGCTGGAGCCATTCTAACGAGAGGCGCTGGTCGCGGAGACCAATGTTGCCAGCACCGGCGTCTTGCAGTTCGTTGCTGAAGAGAAAGCCCCAATACGAAACACGGTAGTTGATGGATGCAGCCACAATAGGCTTTCCCTCCTTGACGGATTGATCGACAATGTAGCTGAGGTTGTACCTCGGGTCGCGCGAGCCTCCGTTTACATAACTCTGTTTCGACAAAGTCAGCAAAAGTACCAGGTAAAGGTTGTCTTACACTTGGCAGAAACTTACGCCGCCATGAACCCAAACTCCAACAGGCAGATCATCTCCTGGCTGGACACCGGCCGGACGCACGACGTTGATGGTCAAGCAGTCCTCCGAAACAGGGTTTCCCAAGTTGGCAGTATCGGAGCCATACCCTATGCACATCCAGCCATATTCGGAAGCTGATCGAGTCCCCTCGAACGTCTCGTTGAGCGGTTGAGGAGCAGCAAACCGGAGAGGGCCAACGGGGGGTTGTGCATACGGGATACCAAGGAAGAAGTCCTGCGCATACTGCTGGTTCCGCACTCCGACGTAGGTTCCGTCTGAGAGGTGCACCGCAGGAGGTCCAGGCGGCGTGGGCTTGGGACGAGGACCCCAATAGCCGGGCGAGGAGGACTCGGACACGCCCAAGCACGACGAAAACGCCAGAAGAACTCTAAACGCGTGGGAACGCATGGCAGACAAGGCTCAACGGGCGAAGAAGTGCAGCTTCTAGAATGCGGTGTAGAAGGAAAGGGAGGCTAACACCTGCGTGTCTCATGTCAGTCGCACAGAGGTTCAGGTAGGGAGATTTTGATCACGCCCGTTGACGCTACTCGGAAACCAATCATGACATATCGTCTAGAAATTGCCTCAACGTCTGCTGGCGTGAAAAGAAATTTCCGTAAAGATGGCTTCTTAGTCCCTGCACTGCCCGGAATATTGGGTTACGACGACTCTAGACTAAGAGCCGTTTTGGAAAATAATCACCGGCTCTTCCAAGGCTCTGCCGATCACCCCTAGCAGACTTAGTCTATACCTTAGATTACGATGACACATACAAGAAGTCCGTACCGTCTCATTGCCCCTGCGGATGGCACTTGGCAACCCTCCAACACGATTTGCGTGCTTCGGCTCAGGGGGCTCGATCAGATGCTACTACGTAAGTTCATCCTTGTGTCGCATGGCGAGAGCATGGCGAGGCTTGCCTCTATCGATCTCTCGGCCGAGCATTTCATCCATCACGGGTTCGACGGGTTATGGCCTGATGCCCAGCATCCCCCGCAGATTGGAGCCGTAGTTGGTAACCGTCCGTGTTGCCGTTGCCCCCAAAGACCTGGCAGAACATCGGAGAAGCATATCTCGTTGTGGTTAGTAGAATCGATGGTGAGACCACGCTACTGCGCAGTAACGGCGCAGCTAATATTCGTGTTGGTGAGTAGACTCTCTTAGTCTCTTCTAGAGCCCCGGAAACTCCATATGGGTGCTGTTTAAACGAGATATGTAATATTGACCATCGGCTATGATCCTGGGGAAAATCGCTGGCGCACGAATGGGATCTCTCCGCTCAAGCCCCAGGATTAGAGTTCGGTACTAAAGACCGGTACCCCAGCCATCCTGAGTTGAGGAGTGGGAACATTCCCACATTCCTCAGCTGCCCCGGCATTGCTGGGCCGGCCTGGCAGGGCTAAAGGAACTTTGGTAGCAAAATCCGTTAACGAGACCACACACACCTTTACAATTTCATTGATTACAGTTGCGTGATGCCAGTGGACCCTTTATGCGTCTGTAGAGGAGAACGTGGTCTGTATGCGGAGCCGCGGTTGGAGCATGGCGCTGGATCTCCGATTGAGATGGACCCCGAGCCAAAGGCCCAAGGGAACGTTCCAGTCCTACCTTACTGTTTAAGTAACCAACTTCGTGTTCCCATCAGATCATTCCAAGACAAGTGTGGTTGCAACCAACAGCCACAGCGTCAGTGGTGAGCCGTTGACTCTTGTCAGGCTGCTAGTTCCCTTGCATCCGTACCACCCGGATTTTCAGACGCAAAACAAACTTGGCCCAGCGATCCAACAGTTCCGTTTGAAGTAATGTGTCCGTAGTAGCAGGAATCATACGTTGGTCCCAGCACCGCCGTGTTGGCGGCCGGCCTCGACTTTTCCACGAACCCAAATCTCCCGCTTCCGCCCGCCGTGATATATGTCGTGCACCGGTCGAAGCCTGATCTGTCTTTCGCCTGCCCGTGACGAGGTATTCCTAGGGGCAGGTGGCGGGACTTCGTCCGAACTCCGTCCCCCTCCCTGCCTCTCCCTTTGAGGGGGAGAATCCTATCGCCGACACAGGCAATACTCTCGCCGGTTTCGAGGGGGGGCACATAGCGTGAAAAGTCGGTTGCACTCCCCGAAACTAAGGACTGTTCATGGAGGGTAGGAGGCTTTCTGGTACCTGGGGGCCCCCTTGTTAAGGACGCTGATCTTAGATTTCATCATGTGCGATGCCAATGTATAATATGAGGGAGTGATGCACCTCCCGCGTGCGCGCTGACCTCGACCGATTTTTGAGCAGAATTCCCGGGGATCCACTGATTGACTCCCGTCCTTGTTTCTTACGACGTCTTCTATCATATCTCGTAGCACTGTGCGTGTGCTGTGAGGTTGACGATGGTCGACGATAGAGGCACCAGACTCCTCGCCGTAACATGGTCTCTTTGTGTCGCTAGCGCTACATTGCTTTCACTGCGTATTTATTGTAAGCTATGGCGTGGACGTGGTTTATGGTGGGATGACCATTTCTTGATTGTGTCAATGGTATGTGAAGAAACGCCGTCATTGTGCTTTACCCCCTCCTAGCTCATGGTTGCAGGTGTCACTTGTGATATCCATCTCGATTAATTCCTACATTGTCTCTCTCGGATTTGGACGCCATATCGATACGATCAGTAGCGACAACCTCAAGCTCATCAACCTCAATACGATCCTCGTCGCCACTTTCGGAATCATCGCAACGACCACTAGCAAAAGCTCGTTCGCCCTGACGCTGTATCGCATTGTCACGAACCAATGGTTGAAATACTTTCTCATCTTCATCATCGTTTCCATCAACATCTCGATGAACTTGGTATGGATCTTTGGATTCGCCAAATGCACACCGTTGCAACGAGTATGGGACAGCAGCGTGCCGGGAAGTTGCTGGGACAAGAAGAAGCTTGTCAAATTCCAATTATTTGCTGCCTGTAAGACTGCCGCGAAACGTTGTTCTCGTGAGGCTTGCATGCTGACTTGCTTCCAGATTACTCCGCCATTCTCGATTTCGTTTTGGCGTTCCTCCCCTGGCCGATTCTCATGGGCGCAACGATGCGGCGCCGCGAAAGGCTTGGTGTCGCCGTAGCAATGAGCTTGGGTGCCATGTAAGACTGCCCGATCCCCCGCTGGCCACTTTTGCGGTAGACTAACATCGACGCCAGTGCCGGAATATGCGGTATCGTGAAAGCCGTCCTGGTGGTCCACATGACCAGTCCAGACATCACCTACGAGCGCGTCGACCTTACGATCTGGACTTTGACAGAACCTGCCGCCTCAATCATGGCAGTGTCCATCCCGGTCTTGTATGTGGTCTTCCCCCTCGTCAAGCTTATCATTTCTTGACGTCTGACACCGTGCAGGAGAATGCTGTACCGAGAACTCAAGTCTACTCAACGAAGTTATGCCCGAAACAAGTCACAGTCGCATGCACTCGATACAGGGTCGAGGAAGGAGGTCAGGTCAACGAAGAGATATGGCCCTGGGTCACAATACGGCCGGAATTCTGTTGTCGTCATGTCTACCGGAGGATGGCAAGAATCGCAGGAAGCCCTCCAAGAGGCGGAAGGCGGCCAGGCATCGCCGCTCCCGGGCATGAACGGCATCATCAAGACCGAAGAAGTGAGAGTGCGGCATGAACGATTAACAGGACTCAGCGAAGGCGAAAGCTCAATAGAGCTCAACTCGCTCAAGGAGGGTCATAGATGAGGTAATGAAACCGACAGTTGATGGACACCCAGGCTGGCCTCGGACGAAGGTTTACAGTATTAATAATTATGAGTTAGCGCCTCTTGATACCAGATATGAATGAACCGAATAGAGATTGATTAGATATGGCGGTCAAGAGAACTATTAGTAGTTAATGTGCAATCGTCTGCCCGTGGTCGTCTGATGAGCCGACAATGATTGGGGAATAAATTGAAACAATCGTGTGAGCAGACCTGCGGATGACATTCTCTATACCTCACCGGTGCCACTGGTTTTGGAGCTTATGGCTTTGCGGCCTTGTTGTCGCTCGTCGCTCGTCACGGGCTCACCGAATGCCCTCTATTATTGGCCTATCGGTGGGAATAAGAAACCAGAATTGCATACCGCTATATCGTGCCTTCCCGAACGCTCGACACTATGTATTATTCCTGTTGATTGCGAAATTTCTGGTACATGTCGAGCCTGGCGGGTCGTGGAGACGCTTTGGACTCGGGATGGGGGACTTCGGTGAGAGCTCGGTAAGATTTCGGTGAGGCATAGGTGACTTCCAACATCATGAGATTGCAGTCCCACAATAGCAAAGGTCGACTACACACAACATGTAGCGACCTCGGAAACCCTTCACATCGAAAACAACAGTTTAAAATGTCCATGTTACGTTTGTATGCTAAGCCAAACATTTTGGCATCTTTGTGATGGAAGTTCTGAGCCAACGAGCTCTAGATTGTATGACATCACGTTGGTTTCGCGATCAACGGCGTTCTCAACTTAGGAAGTCCTTATCTTTGGTTGATTGAGTCCAAAAGAAGACGGCCGTCTTGAAACACAGCAGCTCGTATCAAAGGGATTCGGTTTGCAAAGAGTGAAATCACTTCTCTTTCAGCTCATCCCCTTTGTATGCCCAACTCATTGTATGGATAGGTAAAAAGATGCAGGACAAGATAGCTAATCTTAATAAAGAAGCCTGTGAGATCCAAGAGTTAGAACTCATATTCGCACTTGCCTCACCTTCGCGCCTTCCCCTAAACGCACCTTCCCCTCAAAATCAACTTTGCCCAGCAGCGCCTTCCTCACCTTTACATCCCTCTGAATTTTCATCCTCGATTCTCACTCTCACCCTCATCTCACTCATCTCACTCATCTTGCTCATCTTGCTCATCCATCCCTCAATTTTCTCTTTTCTTCAACCCCTTCGTGAGCCATCTTCTCAACTTCACGCCGAAGATCCCAACTATCGCAAGAACCTCCATCTACTTGCCCACAAGATCCCTCTTCAGACAACCAATTTCCATCAGAAGATTAGATTTCTTCACTTCACACCCCAATTCTCATATCTCTTTCTCATCCATCCACCCATCGCTCATCGAGCAGTATCCCGGCCAAAGCGCATCATCCTCGCCTTCCATTTAGCGAACGCCAGACGAACACCATGATTGACCCGTTCAGCGTCGCTTTCGCCTTTACGGGCATACTGGTCATCTTAATGGCTCTCAGTTACTTCGGTAGTCTGATCTACCAGCTCTTTCGCGAGAACGGCCTGTTCGACCCCAGAAGCATCGGATGCCTGGTCTTCGTCATCTTCATCCTGGCTTCTATTCATCCCCTGACGGCAGATCACGCCCTTAGCATCTTTTTCAGCGTGGGCGCTGTCATATTGGAGGCTATTTGGGGACTCAAAACTGCTGTAATGAGTCTGTGTGATTTTTCCGCCGAGCTTCCACAACTCGCCAGCCAGCTTCGGATACAGATCTGCAGCAAGTTGACCTCCGACACACTCCCGAGCAAACGACTGAACAATCAATTCCTACACCCGCGCAAGAAGATGTCGACAGATGCTTCCGCCAACGAGAGGTGTGTGACAAAGCCGAGGAACGCCTGACGAAGACCTTGAGGCAAACCAACTCCTACGCATCGGAAATTAGCGAAATGGACGCGAAGATCATTGAGATCCAGCACGCTATCAATAAGCAGGAATCTCGTGCTCAACGGGCCGAGCACAATTTCCGAGGGGCAAGCGCGAGACTGCTTGCACATGAGACGGACGGAGCAACCATCGCAAGACTTGAGGCAGAGCTGGAGTATCAGAAAGCGCAGGCCCACGACGCCGATGTCTGTCGTGAGGCATCCAACTCACAAGCGAAGTACCTTCAGAAGAAGATCGATACTCAGAAAGAGAAGTTCCAAGAATACGCCCGGCGCATGGAAGACCAGATTGGCGTGCTACGTACCGACATCAAGGCCATCCGGCGTAAGAGAGACAGTCCCCCTCAGGTAGAGCTATTGGCAACGGGAACCCAAACCGAGGCGGTGGAGACTACTTCCGAGGCAGCCCAGAAGTACCTCGAGGAACAGCTCGCCATGACCCAAGCCAAGCTTTCGGTAAATCAGACGTTGGCAACCTCGGCCACATTCAAGCGTTTCATCAGCAAGACCCAGATGGAAGATCTCAAGGCTGATAGCCAGAATACGGAGCACAACTTATTGACGATCATTGTCGAGCTTCGCAAGGAATTGACCAAGGCCCAACTTCAAGCAACTACTGCTATGCAGTGGCAAGTCACTCAGCAAGATATTGAGGCATCAACGTCGTCAAACATTCTGGCGCTACAGACAGAGTTAGCCAATGTCAAGGCCGAATCCAAGGCAACCATTGAGTCGAAAGACGCCCAGATCCAAGAAGCCGCAGGCTTCAAGGCGGAGGCTGAGAGAGTGGTCGCTGACTTGCGCAACGAAGCAGAGCAACTGCGCCACGAGAACGATACCTTCAAGCAGCAGGTGGAGCAAATGGCCACCCTGAGCCCTCAGATCGCCGTGTTGCAACGAGAGACAGAGCAGATACGCAATCAGAGGGATACCCTACAGCAGCAAGTAGAGCAATTGATGAACCAGACCACTCAGATTGCCCCATTACAGCAAGAGAGGGACGTTGCGATTCAAAAGGCCCAGCTCGTAGAGCAACAAGCAGTGGAAATTTTGCAAGCAAAGGCGGTGCAAATAACCAAGCTGGAGATTGACCTGCGCACTGTCCGCAAGGAGAAGAACCAGGCGGAGGAGGAGATCGAGGGATACATCCAGGAGCTCGAAGATGAGCAAGAGAAGCTTCGGGAAGCACTGGAGGCTGAGAAAGCTTCGATCCACACCATCAGCGACTTGAAGGTGGCTAAGGATGATTTCTATGCCGAAACTGAACGATTGAACGTGGAGGTGCAACGCCTTCTCAACGAAAACACCAACCTGACGGCGAGGATGAAGAAGTTTGCTAGCGAGGAGCTCCTGAAGGCCAACATGGCCAAGAGGAACAAGACTCAAGAGTTGAATAACCAAGATAGAATCTTGGGCTTCATGAAGAAGACCCACGAGGACGAACTTGAGAAGAAGGAGGCCGAGCTTGCGAAGAAGGAAGAGAAAATTGCGAAGCTGGAGTCGCAGCACGCTACGACCTGTGCGGGCAATACCAAATTACGCGACAAGACGAAGAAGGGCCGCGAGGACCTCATACTGTTGGTGTCGAGAGTCAGAGATCTCGAGGGGCAGATCCAGAGCCCCAAGTCCGGCCCCAGACTCACTGCCTTGCAGACCGGAACTGTGTCTACGGTCTTGCAGCAGATTGAAGACGGTAGTCACCTTCTCTCAATCACCTCAACCCCAGCGAAGAAGCCCGAACGCGCGCAGTCAAGCACAGACGCGAAGACTATGCGACCGATGAAGCCACTTCCGAACAGAAGAAGGTCTGAACAGGCTCCGAAGAGTGAGGCGGGCCCTTCGTCTGTGATGGAGGAGTGAGCGAGGCCATGAGCCTCGATTTCTTATTGTTCAGTGCGAACACATTTTGTCTTGTTGTATTATAATTCTGTGACGAGGGCCGGCGAGCCCAGTTCACGGATACAGATATGGTTGTGGTCTCGGTTCGGTTTCGTTTATACTAGGATGGTCACGATCAAGGACACGGTTTACGATTACGGTTACGGTCAAGATTACGGAATTCCGCTATGGACATAATGCTTGGTCGTGATATTGAGCCGCATGGGTGGCTCAAGAGTACAAGGAATGAAAAGTTTTCATTGCGCGATTGAAATCAAATGGTATTGGCTTTTGTGTGAATGCGTGATGCAACCATCCTACAGATCTTCCAAGTCCAAGCCGTCAACCTTGCCCAGGAAATCTCCCGTACCGCCGCGCAATAGCTCCTCGATGTCGAGATTACCCGACGTGATGTACTTTTCACTAACGCCAGCATTGACGCGCTTCGACAACAACTCACGAAGCTGCGCCCTCATGGCTCCCATCTCCGCCTTGCTAATGTTCTTGTCCTCCTGTTGCTTCTTCTTCCGCTGACTTCCGCGACCCGTCCACGTCCCCGCCTTCTCCAGCTCGTCGCTGTCGTACTCTACACCAAGCTCCTCAGCAGCAGCCTTGACCCAGTCCTCGTCCTTGGTGCCTTTCTCCTTGGCCAGCGTGGCGTCCGTGAGTTTCTTCGCCAGGTCGAGTCTCGGCTTAAGGCGGGACGCGATGCGGCGATCGATGTCGATGGTGCGCATAAAGTACTTCTTCTTGCTCGAGTGCTTCTCGTGGACCTTGGCCGCGAGTCTGCGCGTCGGTACGACCTCTTCCGGTCCGCAGAGAATGATACTCAGACCCGTCTTCTCGGCACGCGCGGTGCGACCGGAGCGGTGGACGTACATGTCGGCGGCGCGGGGGACGTGGTAGTGGACGACCTGGTCGATGCCGGGGATATCGAGACCGCGGGCGGCGACGTCGGTGGCGATGAGGACGGATGTCGTGTTTGCTTTTGTGGCCGTGAACTTTTCGACGGAGCGGAGACGGGCTTTTTGGGCCATTTGGGAGTGGAGGCCCATGGCGTTCAAGTTGAGGTTTTGGAGCATGGGGGTCAGGCGACGGACGGCGCTGATGGAGTTCGTGAAGACGAGAGTGCGGCGTTTCGGGTTGAGGAGGAGGATTGTGTAGAGGTAGAGGTCCTGCAACATGTTAGATCAGGTCGCCATGCATGATAGATTGGGCGAGCGCTTCTTTCTTACCTTTTCCATGGCACCGCACTCGATGAGACCCTCCTTGAGACCGGCGGCCATCTGCTTGGCGGGGTTGGCGTCAATGAACTTTGGCTTTTCCTCGCGGAAGTTGAGCTTCTTCAGTAGATACTCCATGTTCTCCGTCTCCGACATGAGGCCCCATTTGCCCTTGCCAGCCAGCTTCTGTTGCAGTCCCTGGTGGAACGTGGCAGAGAAGACAAGCGTCTGTCGCTCCGAGAGCTCTTTATCATCCTCGTCGTCCTCTTCGACAACCTCACGGTCAAGGGCGTCCAAGATCTCTCCCGCCTCCTTGAAGTGTCCCTCGCTCAGAAGCCTATCGGCCTCATCAACAACCAGGTACCTGATTTGCCGGAACCCCTTCAGGAGCTCCGTGCTCGAGCTGATGACCTCCCACAGGCGACCTGGCGTACCAATCACGATATCTGCCTTGGCTAGTTGTCTCTGCTGCTTGAACACTGACAGACCTCCCGTCACTGAGCAAACGAATGGTGCGTGGGGCAGACCAGCGCAGAGGTTCTTGATGTGATTGGTGATTTGGTGTGCCAACTCTCTCGTCGGCGAAAGAATAAGCGCAAAGGGGGTGTTATCCGGCTTCTTCTCGTCCTCCTTTCCCTCAAACTTCTCGAGCCATTCCTCCACGATGGGAATCGAAAACGCAAGCGTCTTACCGGAACCCGTAGAGGCCTTGCCGATGACGTCGTGGCCGGCGAGGATTTCGGGTATCGAGGAGCTCTGGATCTTTGTTGGCTTGGCGAACTTGAGCTTGGCAATGGCCGCAACAGTCGCTGGGGAGAGACCGAGGTCCACCCAGGGAGCCGTGTCGATATCCTCCTCGGCCTCTTCAGCTTCCTCGAGAGCCTTGAAAACATTGCTTTCAAGCTTGGCGTCCTCTGGCTTAGGCTGAGCCTTCTTCTGCTTCTTCTCCTTCTTCTTCTTACCTTCGGGTTCGGCTGCGCGCGCAGGTGTAGCGGCGTCTGTCTCGTGGGCTTTGTCTGCAGGCTTGTCCCCCTTTGTGTTTTCCACCTTTTGTGCCTTTTGTTCTGCCTTGGCGGCAGCCTGCTTCTCCTTCTTGGTCTTCTTGGTCTTCTTGGTTTCTGCCTTTGGTGCTGCCTCGGCCTCCTCCATTATTGTATCGGTTTGTGTAGGTGCGGGCTCAGAGTCGCTGAAGCCTTCGAACTCGTCTTCGTCATTCTCCTTCTCGTCGCCAGAGGGAATAGCAGCGATCTAGATTGCAGTCAGTCATGCAACGTATTCGAGGGACGAGAAAGGGAAGCTTGAGCAGGGTTACGTACAAACTCGACGTTATCACCATGTTTGACGACATCAACGCCCTCGATAACCTCCAAGCCGTAGAAACCCTCGGCATCGTCAAACATCTCGGGGACCTCGACCGTCTTCCATGGCAGCGCACTGACAGCGACCTTGCGCTTCTTTGAGGCCCCAGCCTTTCCGCCAGCCGACTTTTGGCGCTTCTGGGGATTCTGGACAGCCCCAGAAGGCTGTTGCTTCCTCTTATGTTGCATATTGGGGGTCCTGGTATTGTATATACAGGAGCGCAAAAAGAATGGTATGGGAAAATGAAAATGCCCCGCGAGTAATCTTTCACATCGACAAAAAAAAAAAGGAAAAAAGTCGATGCGCATTTCGTCCACTGCAATTGAGCGCCGCCGCCGCTGCGCTGCACGAAATTTTTGGCGGGCCCGGAAAATACTTCAGCCGGAAGCGCGAACCCCTGGGCGCCAGGCAATGCACAGACCGCAGCTTAATTCAGCCCTACGAGAACAGCGCTGCAGCAAATTTTCTTTGGCGGCCATAGCGGGCGTTGACCCCTCCAAACAAAAAAAACATTGCTGGCAAATTTCCCCTCCCCCGCCATTTCCGTCTCATATCAACCCTCGATAGGTCTCTTCCCGTCTCTCGCTATCACTTCAAGATGGGCAAATCTTCTAAGGATAAGCGCGATGCTTACTACCGTCTTGCAAAGGAGCAAGGCTGGCGTGCACGCAGTGCCTTCAAGCTGCTGCAATTGGATGAAGGTGACTCATTTTACCCCGCCATTCCCTGATGCTTTGGCTGTGATACTGAATGGTGATGCAGAGTTTGACCTCTTCGCCAACGTAACAAGAGTCGTCGACTTGTGCGCTGCCCCTGGTAGTTGGTCTCAGGTGCTTTCTCGTGTTCTCATCAAGGGAGAGAAGTTCGGCCGTTCAGCATGGGAGGATCGTGAGGCCAAGTTCCGCCAGGAGATGCTGGGAGTCTTCCCCGCTACCCCTGAATCTGCCACATCAGCGGAGAAGACTCAGACCGAGACTGCTCCAGAAGAGACACAACCTCGCAAAGATGTAAAGATCGTGTCTATCGATCTGCAACCCATCAGCCCTCTCCCCGGCATTATCACCCTGCGTGCAGACATCACGCACCCCGCTACCGTGCCTCTGCTCCTCAAGGCCTTGGATCCCGACTATGACGCCGCCAACTCCAAGAGCCAACAGGCCAGCCATCGTGTCGATCTAGTCATCAGTGACGGTGCTCCCGATGTCACTGGTCTTCACGACCTGGATATCTACGTCCAGTCCCAGCTTCTCTTCGCCGCCCTCAACCTCGCTCTTTGCGTACTGAAGCCCGGCGGCAAGTTCGTCGCCAAGATCTTCCGCGGCCGCAACGTCGACCTCCTCTACGCGCAACTCAAGATCTTCTTCGAGACCGTCATCGTCGCGAAGCCGAGATCCTCCCGTGCTAGCAGTGTGGAGGCTTTCATCGTCTGCATCAACTTCCAACCCCCGGCTGGTTTCCAGGCCAGTCTCGAGAACCCGCTTGGAGTTGGTCACGAGCTACCCAAAATGGTCGAGGAGAGGAGGAGTCAGCTGCCTGCCATTGCTGATGCGCTCATGCAGAACCCCCTGACGGGAACATGGGACTCTGCTCCCACGGCGTCTGCGACAAGGGGAGACGGCCAGGTTGTTGAGGTGGAAGCCTATGACGAGACGGACGAGACGACGGATCATGATAAGCACATTAGATGGATTGCGCCCTTCATCGCATGCGGTGACTTGTCGGCGTTCGACTCTGATGCATCATACCAACTTCCCGAAGATCACGTCTCTTTGGATCCCGTCCAGCCACCGACGGCACCCCCGTACAAGCGCGCAATTGAGTTGAGAAAAGCCGCTGGCGGAGCATATGGCAAAACGTCAATTAAGGCATGATGATTACAACAACGTGTCAATACCATAATGGGGTTCGCGCTCAATCCTCATCCTCCTCGTCCGACGGCCCATTGGGCATTGCGGGGCCGCGCTTCTCCAGCAAATACAGCTTCCCTGAATGTGACACACCCCATTCCGTTGTCCCCAAGGCCTGCTCATACAACTTACTCGCTTGCGGCGAGGAAGTCAGAAGCAGAAACCGTCGCAAGTCAGGCCACTCGTCCAAGATCTCGTTCAGGCACTGCATCAGCCACGGCGCTAGTCCCTTGCCTTGGTGCGTGGGGAGGACGTAAATATCTGCTAGATACCCAATGGTGGCGTAATCAGTCACGATGCGGGCGAAGCCCACTAGTTCAGGACCTTTCTTTCCTGCTTGACAGTTAGACAAGGAACCTAGAAAGAAGTCGATGAAAGGCTCGTCGACATACCTGCAATGTCGGCGGTAGACTGTGGGAGTTTGTACACTCCGAGACATAGCGAGTTGTCTATCAGCCTCCTCAGAGCGACTTCCGGAACGCGCTTCGTCCACCACAGCAGCTCAGAATCAAAGGCATCGTTTACGGCGTTGAGGTCGACTAGCGACCGGTCGGTGGAAATGAGGTACTCATCCTTATACCACTGTTTAGATGTCTGGTTCGGCATCGTAGCCCACTGCCCAAATGAATGAATGAATGAACGAAAAGAAGATGTAGTTGAAAGATACGTGAAACTCTCACCTTTGGTCTGTGGTGCCCGGATCCGTACGAAACCTAACTCTACGAGGGTTGAGCTCGAGACTGCATGCGGAGGAGGGGGGTCGAGCGGGAAGTTCAATCCCCGCCTCCGAACACATGTCCGTCACCTCACGTCATGCCCGCCCGGATTGAGACTTTGCGAGCCACCCACACTCCGTCTGGGAAGGGAATGGAAGTTTGGGCCGGTGAGGTGGGGTAGACCATCTGCCGGGTTCCCTGCTATACCTCTCTCGGTAAGCTCGCTCCGGGTGGGGTCCCTTCGCTCCGTTGCTTGTCACGGTCGCGGGGGCAGTTTTGTGGGGCATTCGGGCTTCAAGTAGGGGGTACAATGCTATGCCGGTCGTTGCATCAGTGACATCCTTCGATAACAGGTACCGCTACTGTCCTCATTTTTCCATCTCCTGATATTCTTATTACGATGTCTCTAGGAATCGAATTCGAGTACACTTCTCAAATAATGCACGGAGAGTACGGGCCAAAAGGCAGATCATTCTACAGATCATTTGGGGCTCGGGAAGAGGGTGAGGCGCGCCGATTATCGTAGCAAGTGGCTTCAACATGTAACAATGTTTGCAGTTGGAAGAGTTGCGAAAGGTTTGCCGACTAGAGTCTGGTGCTCGTAGACATGATGGACTATGCTAGCTATCGGTAAAGATGTGGACGGTCATTCAGCTTTTGTTCTCAGGAATGAGGGGAAGGCTTTGATACTACTGTAGATAGGAGTGGGCCTAGTTTAAAACACCAATTTGATTTAGAGAGTGATTGAGTCCTACAGAAAGCTATTTTTTGAGGCATACGCCATTGTTTTAGCCATTTGCTGAGGTTGAAGTCATGAACCCCTTTGTTTTTGATGAAACGTACAAGTACCTTAGGTAGAAATAGATCAGGAAAAGAGAACAGCTTCGGAGGTGTACTTGCCCTCTAACTCACTGTCATACCTTCCGTATTTTTCAGTACTTCCGTCTACTCAGATATCCGTTTTACCTATAATTTGATGAGAATCCAGTTCTCCCTTCTCTCTTCCCTCCTCCAACCACCTGGCTTTTTCCCTACCACGACTCAGCGCTTCTGGGGCCAAGATTCGCCAAACTGTCTTCAATAAATTGCCTTCAGTCTAATTCGGTTTGCGCATTGCAGAGTAGCCGAAGACGACGCGGAAACACCGTTAGCTACCACAGCCATTCAAAATCATTCATCATTTCAATGCCCAACGTCTATCCTTGTGTCTCATACTGAAGTTACCAGAAATCATGGTTCTTATCCACATAAATATCTCGAGTCAAGATAAAAGTTTAGGCCACTATTCACTAAGAACTCCAAGTATCTGGAGAGAAAAACCCATACACATCTTCGTCAGAGGAATGCAGAGGTACGAATATATCGAAAGTTATATGCGCGAGCGCACTACTGACGGAAACGGCTGTACGACGAAGACAGGGTCGGGTCCTGGACGTGGGCAATGGCGACAAGCTAAAGGAATTGAGTTTAGAGGAGGAACAGATCTGAGGAGAACGCCAGATCTGAGGAGGATGCATAAGCACCCGCGTGACAGATTTATTAGAGAGTATTTCTTGAACGTCTTCCGGGTTCAATGAGCACACATGATCCTGTCATCCAAAGACTGCAATTGCCCACACGGGCGCGTGCCTAATCTACTCGCATCGCGACTTCTTCAAAACGACCTCCTTCAGGTGCAAGTCCGGCAAGTTCGCTCTTCCTTCCCCTGTTTACTGAGAAACCTAAGGAACTCCCAAGTCACTACCGAGTTTTTCAAACCACTTGCCTCCCACTTGCCTCGATTCCTCCTGGTTTTCTGTCTCCCTACCAAAAACGAGACAACGTCCATCTACGCTTTGCGCTCGCGGTTCTTTGCCATCATCCCACAACCTCGCGGAGTCCCTCCGTTGTCTGATACCTATTCGAAAACAACCAAGAACTTCCATTTGATCCCGTAAGCTGCATAGAAGAGAACATATACGGTCACTGTTGCATTGCTGAACATTATTTCAGGTCTCCACCATGAATGGTTCCTTCGAGATGGACCCCATCCAGAATTCCATCCACTTCTGGTGCAGTGACGAGAACAAAGAATGGCTCGACGACATTCTGAACACTCATTTCGAACCCCTCATAGACAACATCAACGCCGGAGGTCTCCATAGTAGCTGGGAATGGTTCACCGACGACGCGACTCTGACGACAAGCATCAATCTTCCACGTTACGAGGGAACAACCTTTGAAGGGAGAGAGGCAATCAACAACTACCTCGCCAGCCAATACAATGCCGAGCCCCGCATGAAGTTTGTTCCACTCCTTTACACCTACGGCCAAGGCCACATGGCATGCCATGCGTGGTATAGACTCAACGACGAGCATGGCCTTTCCAGCCCTCACGATCATCAGCTCCTCATTACGGCGAACCTCAACAATTACCACAGAGTGGTCAGCATGGATTTCAGCGAGTATACGGTTGCGGGACCGGCGTCTTATATTGAGATAGTGGACAATTGCGTCGCTTGTCGGGCCATGGCTTCCATGAGGCGAGAGAGACAGATGGAAGAGGACGCGGATGATAGTCCAGATGATGAAGCACAATCCGAGTGGCCTTATCGCCACGAGGACCATGACCACTGAGAGTATTGGGAAGATTGACATTGCTACCGGGAGACTGGGATCGTTATGCGATGCTGAGGTTGAGGTTCGAGGGAACGGTTCGACTATTCAATAGCATTACATTTCTGATGAGCATAATGAATTTCTTGTACCTTTGTCTTACTTCCATTACATGCTGGTGTACTGTGTTGAGTTCGTATCCATGTCTGGCGTTATGGTCACATGCATGTTCACAGTCATGATACTGATCAAAAATGTCGACGAAATACTTCACCCAGGTGGAGTGGGTACTTTAGGCAGTTCAGGCGAAGATGGTAGGTATGAATCATCAGTCATTCTTTGAGGATGGCTACCTGGTGCTGATAGAAGCTGTGTAGGTTAAATTGTACCGCGAAACAAGTGAAATCCCAAGTCTGAACCCCCTTGCCCTGCTGCTTGGAAGCGCCGTCTCCGGCTCTCCATGCAAGCCCGATCCCTGGGGGCTAATTCTGATTTCCGTGTCAAGAGTTCACCATCCCAACACCCCAAGGAACCACTTGAGGCGATCGCAAGACCAGGAACGCCAGCTATCCTCCAGCGAGTACCAAGTCAGTGTGACATCAACTGGGTATCTCTCGGGCTTGTAGAGCTTGAAGTTACGCTCATCGAGGGCAGTGTGTCCGAGCTGGGCTGCTGGGATACCTCTCTGGCGGGCCATATCGGACGCCATTCTCTCCCAGACGCGGTGGATGAGCAAGACTTGGTTGTCCTTATAGGCGCCGAACCAAGAAGCTTCGACTACATCGGTCAGGTAGTTGGGATCATTCTCGGTCTGCAGGTTGGAGTTGAAGGTCGGGTGAGGCATCGGAGGGCAGCTGTGGAGGCCATGCATCTCGCAGACCATGTCACCGAGGAGCCAGAACTTGTCGCGTGGGAGGAACATGCTGGCACTCAGGGAGTGGACGGGAACATTGCTGGTATTTCCGTAGTAGAATTCGCCGGCATTGTCGAGATAGTCAAAGTAGGAGCTGTGTTCAGGTCCGCGGAAGTGGTTGAGATTGCCAATCTCAATAGGGGTATCCATGTCACATTGGTCGTAGCTCGCAGCAAGCCGAGTAGTAAAAGCATCGGCAACCGTGTTTGGCTCGCACTGCTGAGGATCAGCTTCAAGGAAAACACCGGGAGGCATATCACCCTCAGATCCTTGTCCGATGGCCCTGCAGCCTCCATCTCGCAAGACCATGTGGAAGCCCTCCATATCGTCAGTCCCATCCATGTAGTAGTCTGATGAACGAGTAGGCTTGTTGGATATGGCACTATTGCCTAGGATCCAGGTGATATCGGCTGTGGGTCGGACCATGTCGGGGTGCGTATCCATGAAAGACTTGGTACTCTTCCAGAGGAGCTCAGAGTCGGCGGCACCCTCAAAAGACACCTCATTGACTCCGTAGGCAATTCCGCGGTCTCGCATTAGACGGAAGACATCGACCGTAATGTCGCAGAGGAACTTGGTCTAGAGAAAGAGCCTTGTCAGCCAAGGCAAAGCAAAGGAGGGTAAGGAAGAAAGGACGATGCCAACTTACGCCAGGTTCAACCATCCAGAACCATTCGTAGGCCTGAAGACGCTTCTCTCGGGCAAAGAGTCCAGCAGACCAGCGACGTCTGTGATGGGCAGTCTTGATGAGGGCTTTGTCGGCGTTCACTCCCTAAGCGCGCACCAGACCAGCCTCAAAGCGACCAGGGTCAACAGAGCTCGGGATTGTCCAGTGCTGCTGAGGGATCAGGTTGTAGGTAACAGTCGAGGCAGTAGCGTTAGAGGTAACGTCCTTGAACTCTTCGCTAAGCTCCTCGTGGCTGAAGAATACCCAGTCGTAGCGGTACTTGTGATTGAATCGCTGCTCGAGCTGTGCGACAGAGGCTACCATCTGCTCCTTTTGCTGCTCTGAGACCAGAGAGACAAAGGCAGCTCGTGGCGAAGCATTGTGAATGTGGACAGGACCACACAAAGCAAGCGGGATCTGGACGAGAGCCAGTGCAATCCAGAAGACTAGAGAAGCACAGGATCGAAGAGATAGCTGGCCGTGCGCCGCCATCTTGACTGGTTTATCGAGGTGTACGATCAGTGGAAAGAGGTAGCCTGTAGGACAAAACAAGTGAATGTGAGTGGGAAGGCATCAACTCCACGCCGTGACTGGCGTGACAAAGGGAACTTAGCGATGTCGTGCGCTCAGGATGGATTTGTTTTGATGAGGTTGTTGTGGGGGAGAAGGTTTGGTGGAAGGGAGAAAGTTGGGATTGTGATGTTGACAGGAGGAGAAGTCGTGTGAGCAGCTAACGAAGAAGCAGTGAGGCACACAACATCACTAGCGCCTCGCTTAAATTCTTCTCATCTAGAACAGAGGAAGGAGCATGGATGCTAATACCTCTTCAACACGTGATTTGGTGATCTGGAGACCTCACCGAGGTGCCCTAGGCGCCTGAGGCGCAGACCTTTCGGTGAGGCCTTGCCCGGAAGATATACTCCGGAGACACGTGATATCACCTGGATGCTGTTGAAATACTTGTCAAACGCATGTTTGCCGTTCGTATTTGAATTACTGGCAGCCTCTCTATGTCCAAGAATCTAAGAGCTCCCTACCTAATCTTCACATGGCAGAACAGGAGACTGTTGAGCTTTCTTTGGCCACAGCAGGAATGCATGTCAATGCTTAGCCCGATATCGCTTTCCGGATCTTTCAGCCCTAAGGTAAATACACTTGCTTCTGTACGAACAATCGCTATCGATTCAAAGATCAGCAAAATGACCAAGAGGTATTGCTGGCGGGGCCATGACTGAGCAGGGACAACTAAAACTGCCATTCAAATGACCGCTCTACCTATTACAGAGAGGGATCACCGGGAGCCAAAGAGGAACAATAACATTGGCCTTTGTATTCAACCTTTGACCTTGTGAGTTGATTGTAGTGTCAAGCATCCAAGGCCTGCTGGAAACGTAACCTGATTGATTATTCATGTTTGCTGCGAACCAAGAGAAGTACTGCAGGCTCATCTAATAATGGTGAGATGGGATGTGAAAGTCAACAGAGCCACCTCCCCTATGTAGTAATAACCTCGTCCTTCGCGTTCCATTCCTTCTCCCGTCGATTTAGAATTTCAACCATTGATTCTAACCCCAGATCCATTGCTCTTTCCACCACTAGTTTCAACTCTGATGGCTCATCACGGCAGACCTCCCTATCTAGGAGAAACTCAAGTATTGCTGTATGCTCAAGGCGTACGGCATACTGCAGCAGTGTTCCTCCATGCCAAGCATGTGGACTCGCGCCATGTTTGACAAGCTTCCGTACCATAGATATACTTCCAGCACGTATTGCCGCAGCCAGGGGAGAAATGTCGCCCATGACCCCTTCGGGATTCATGCCAGACTCGAGCAAATAGTCAAGCACGTCCTCTCGCCACCCGCGGGCGGCCCCGGTGAGACAGTTGTCCCCCGAAGAACCGATGCCATAAACGTTGAATCTAGTAGATGACAGTCCGCCACTTGATTCAAGTAGGTGCCTGACGATGTCTAGATTTCCCCATTCACAATGCGGCCGAATCACGGTATTTAGCATGTGATATCCATATTCCTCATGCTCAAAAAAAGAACAAATGTACTTGAATGCGTCCACTGATTTCGTTTTGTAGACCGCTCGGTAAAGCTCGTAAACCTGGTCATCTGTTGAATCAACGAGAACGTGCCCGCACGGGAACCCGGCGAAGTCTGTGCTGCTCGAGTCGGCCCGCGAAGGGGGGTAGATGGCTAGGCGCAGCATTTCCACATCCCCGGACATCGCAGCTCCTCTAATCGACGTTTTCCCGGTACGTTCCTGAAAGAGCTGAAAAATTTCGGCATTGCGTGACCAGGCAGCAAGTTGTAAGGGCGTATCGAAAAGCTCGTTGGTGTCTGCTGGGCAATGACCCTCCTCCAACAACTCCTTGGCCAGTGGCAAGTTTCCGAGATACGCTGCTGCACTGAGGAGATTGAGTCCCAAATCCGTGACTACACCATTTTCAGCAATTGCCCCATTTTTCCCAATGCCCAGAGTCCACATGCGAGCAATGGTAGGCCATCTCGCGGCTCGCTCCAGTGCCATCCAACACAGCGAGTCGATGGTGCTGTCTAAAGCCGCCGCGGCAGTTCGAGTGCAGTAAGCCTCTGCAACTTGTCGAACCTCAAGAAGACGGCCAACCTGTGGATTGTTTTCGTTTCGAACTCGGTAGGAAATGTAAGCATGCCAGAACTCCTCGATGCCGTGGTGTTCCCTTATGTACCAGTCGCTCATGAATTCCTCGTTTCGACCACCAGAATACAGCGACAAGTGTTCAAATTCATCAAGGAGGCGAGTTTCAAACAAGGCAGCCCTCAGACAGTCCCGGAACAGTCCTAGATGAGTTGACACCGTCAATTTCACGCGCGGGCAAAATGAAGATCGATTTTCACTTACTACATACGAGGCGCAGTCTCATGGCTCTTGTGACACCCCTTGAGATGGCCATGTGGTACAATATCTTGTGAATCAATTCTTGGGAGAAATCGAGGATATGCATAATGAGAAATTGATGGCTGCACGGCTTGTTGGATGTTACATTGATAGTTGGGGTGGAGAGTTGGGTGTTACCATGAGACTTGGGCAGGTCTTTGATGTCTTATTTATATCCGTCTACTAGGGATTGCTCTGTCCCCTGTGAACTCTTGGCTTGTTTGTTGGTTGCCACATACGAGTTGATGCAAGCCAACCTTTTGGGCCCGTCTACTGCAACGCAACCATGCTGGCGAAGACCAGGCCATTGCAGGTGTCTCCAACGCTGTTAGTGTATTACCTTAGGCAGACCGGCTGAGCCACCCCCACGTCTTCTTGAAACTGCAAGGCCAAGTGCGTTGGCGCTTAGGTCAACGCTGGTGGAATCAACGCTGGTAGAATTAGTGAAATGCATTTGAATGAGGACATTGGAGAGATGAAATGTCTGCGAGAGGATTCAGAGCACATCTTCAACGCTCAATTGTACGTCTACTAATTTGTAGTTCTGATTGAAATCGAGCAAAGATGACATGAAGCAACTAGAATGAGAATGTGGACTACCTCGAGCCAGCCCAGAGAAGCGAAGTAAAACTTTGGCGATAGATGGTTAGGAACATTCCATGCGCAAGCGTCATCCTATTGCCGTGATTGAACTGCCAAGTGGGTGACAAAATGGCTTTCCTCCCATACCTCTTGAACAAGTATTAGCCCTTTTACTACTCGTATCAGAATTGCTACCCCTTCTGCATCATAATCCTTCTTATATACGTAAAAGAATATACTATATCTCATAGATAGTAGTACTTGTGATGATGGCGGTGGAAACTGCTTTGTCGGATGTGTACAAGCGGAAATCGATTTCGTCACCCACTTGACTGCGTACGAGGTTGCTCTCCAAAAGGAGCGAAGAGTAAGCTCGTTGCTGGGTGTTGCTAGAAAACTTGAAAGCATGAAAGGCTCAGGGGAAGAGGGCATCCAAGTTGGGGGTTTTCAAGCCACCATAGACTCGATATCCTGAAACGCCCTTCTTGATGTAGTCCGAATTGACCCAGTTTGCATTCTTCCCGAACATGGTCTTCGAAATGTCATCGAAGATCTTCTTGTCAACACCAGTGGCGGAGGCGCTAACGGTAAAAGAATCCACCTCTCGTGCGGATCCCTTTTCTGTCATGGCGGCTTGTAGCACCGGAATAGTACTTGACTCCTGGACATTTTCGTAACTAAGCTTCCTCGTCTTCTTTGGGGTAATTCCTGCCTTTTTTAGGACTTCTACCTGAATGTTTGACAATTTGACTTGTTGATCAAGGGGAACCAATTTGTTGGCATCACTCATCTTAGCGTGAGACACAACCAACGACCCCTCTTTCGCGTTGACTTTGCCGGATACCGCGTTTGAGTATTTATTGTGGTCGACTTTGAAGCCTCTGTTGGACAGTCCATCAAATATAGTGACGGTCCAGCCATTGCCAGGGGCCAAGATTTGCTCGGGGGTCTTGACAGTCTATTTTACCACTCAACGTCAGCGTCCTGGCCATTCATACTATTTCAAATATCCTCATTCTGAGTTTGTTGTCTTGATGTGGTATGGATGACTTACAGGAGGTGCTTGTTTCACGGGACTTGCGCCAGGTAAGCCACCGGGTCCACGGCCTGCGCCGCCGGGAGTGTTACTGCCGGGAAACTTTTCGTTGAGAGCAGGATTCTTGGGAGGCTTGGGTGGTGGTGCTGGAGTTCGGCTATCGAGACGAGGAATGCAGTATGGGAGATGATTCTCAGTGTACTGAGAGTATCAGTATAAATGCCTCAGCTCAGTCTGCAACTACTTACTTCCTGGGAAATCTCGAGGCATATAGGCAGGGCTTGGGAACTGTTGAAGAAAGTAATCAACCCGATCAGAGCGACCAAGGCTAACCTGAGAGTCGAGAAATGCATCTTGGTGTCGATTCTGATGGAGTGAGAAATAAACACAAATGATTGGTATAGTTCCAGTGGTAATGCTTTTGAAAATGCTCGTGTAATGCTTACTATTGTGCTGGCTTATTCTTATCTTACGTCGAGAAGATGAATGATGATTTATACTCTTGACAACTTTAACAGAACTATTTCTGTCCATCACATTATTGATGAAGACGATAAATGTCCATTCAAAGGACCCCAAGAAGCGTTCGTGAAGGGGCCATCATTGGAACAGGTTCCGACTTGCCAAGAAGGAGGGAAAGGAATCATTTCCGGCTCTGAACGGGCAGGCTAGCACATTATCGAGTACTCCATCACATAGTGATATGTATCATTCCCCTGTTTGAAGTTACTGCAACGTCAAGTTTACTAATTCATGTTGCGTTCTGGTTTTGTATACCTTAACCGTGAAGCCCCCAAGACATTGTGAACAGGATACCCCGTTCTCCCAAAGGAGATTTGCAAGGAAGCTCGAATGCGCGGCACCATCGCCAACGGGAAGACAGAAGGATACAGGTAACAACGAAAAAGTTAGGTTGGAGTCGGCCGCCTGCACTTGGGGTCCTAGCAATTTCGAAGTGCAGGACATGGTTGCACCCCTTACTACTGGGGCATTGTAACCCTTGTTCCAACACAGATTTTGAGAAGCTGGTTATTTTCCTTACAGTCCCATCGCTAACAAATATCATAGCATGTCACCAACACAGCGATCTCCACCTTCAAAATTATGGCCGGCCCCGGCCCCCGGGGGCCATATGTATGGCAAAAGCTGCCAGAGCTCAATGTGTGTCACTGCATCCGACTAGCTTCGGTGCCCCCACATGTCGTTGTGATCGGCCTGTGGCCTGGTTGATGGCGAATGACAATAACTTCAAGCTCTTTGCGGCGAGGCCAGCCATTTTCACCTTGTGCTTGAAGTACCGAAGCAGTTCAATAAAGGATGGGTAACGAAGCTCGGTGCTTGTACTGTGAATTGTGCCAGGTGGCCTTTCTGCTATCTACGCACTTGTGGTCGAGCACTTTGATGCTACCAAGGTACTGGGTGCTTCCACGACAAGTTCTATATCGACCTAGTTACTGGGGACGGTACTGGGAGCGGTGACTAGGAGCCTTGGTCTGAAGTAATGTGTGCGCCCTGTGCTTTTGTAAGAGACAGCATCAACCTTGCTTCAATGACATTGTCAATATGCCTGGTCTCTTCTGGACATGATGCTGGAGCTCGCGAGCTGCTATTGGAATTATAACACTGGTACTATCAGACAAGGTGGACATATTAATTGTGTTCAATTGCTCTATAGGTCATCGAGCAGTTCAACCGTTCAAATGTATCCAACGGCAGGCAATCACTAACCCAATGCCGTTTTTGTTCGAACCCATTACTTCAAGCACAACATGACTTGAGAAAATGTACCTTGATCATATTTAGGAAAAGCAATGGCTGATTGCTGTGAAAAGAGATATGAAAGTCGATCCCACGAGGCTTAGGGGAAAGAAAGGTTTGGTCCAAAGCAAACTGCCGTAAAGATAACCAAAGAAGTCACAAAAAAGGTATTTTAGATACTGCGCATTCGACTGTGAGGCACATGAATTTACAATGGTCAAGCTAAACCAAGAGCTTACAAAACCCCTCGAAATTCGGCGATTAGAAACTTCATCGTCCCCAGTGGCTTACTTCTTTGTACAGCTTGGCAGGTTCGCCTCGGGCAAGAAGAGGGCCCGCTTCTCCAATCAGCTGGACAGAGCTAGCGTTGAAACAGCTACTCGTAGTTCCGCCTGAGCAAAGAGGGTAAAGCGTCTTCTCCGAGATGTCGCAATACATGTTGTCCGAGTAGGAGATAATGTCATAGCCAACCGAGTTGGGATCCTCGCAAATCTCGCGCGCAGTTTGCCCTTCGATATTGGTAACGATCAGCCTCTCCGAATCCATGTTGCTGCCTTGTCTTTTGCTCAACTTGTTGGTTCTGGGTCTGATGTTTCGTTGGCCGATCTTTCTCTCGCCCTGGCGTAGGTACACGCTCTTGTCATAGGTCTGTTTGTCAAGAGCAATATCGGGGTCCTCGTCTGAGCCTTGATCGGCGCCGTCGGAAGTGTACTTCAGAGGGGGGTCGAAAAAAGGGATCCAGCCATCTGGGAGGAGATTGCCCCAGAAAGAAAACCGAGGAGTACTCTTGCACAAGTAAGGGTAGCCCTTTTCGGGATACATCGTGTACAAATCCATCTTGGATTGGGTGGGAGCGAAGTCGTTCAGATGGAAGCTCATGGCTTTGGCATTCAGGCCATCAGTGTGATCGCCATCGAGCCAGACGCAGGGAGTTGTGAATCTGGTCTCTCCCAAGGTCCGGTCACTGTAATACCATGACTGCCCGCAGGTTTTGCCGGTGGAGCCATAGAATGTGGTCGTCACAGCACTGTTCGCTACAGTGATGGTCGAAATGCAAATGGCGTCGTCGTCGTGGTTGCTCAGCATGATGTAGAAAGGATCTGCGCCCTTTCCCCCATTCTGGTTGTGTTTGACTATTATCTGGCCGTGCCTGTCTCCGTCGGCACCAGAGGCCATCTTTTGGTTCTTGCCAGGATGCCATTGTGCAATGCGCTTTCCAAAATCATCCCATAGAGCTATATGGGGGATCTTGCCACCTGCACCATTCATGTCATTGTGATGGCCGGTGGTGAAGGTAACAAGAGTCGCTGGATCGTTGGCAGCCGGCTTAGAAGCATCGACCAGCAGCTTTACACTGACCAATGTCGACGCTGCGTCCACGGCAGCCATCAAGAACCCGGCGGCTCCGAAGCCCATGGCGAGAGTCTTCAAGCGCAACTAAGAGAAATTATGAGGTGAGGGGTATAGCTGCGGTTGTTTCCGTAGTAACAGAGATAAGTTAAGCTGGGTTCAACGCTCGAAATCAGATTGTGAGTTTGATGTGTGTTTGCATCGTGATGGGTACCATTTTATACGTCCAAGTATGAAGTTGATCATAGTGTGATTGGTAGCCTCACGACAGGTAGTCAAGTTTCCTCTCTAAGTTGACTGTTTCTTAGACTTTGTGATGGCAGTGATGTTGTCAATCTCGTGGAGGCCATAAAACAGTGCCAGGGGGCCATTCCAAACTGGGCTTCGAATGGCAAAACAGAGGGGGCGGGGCCCAAAGTCGGATCTCAGTCGGGTCTGTTTCCGATGGGGTCGTAAAGACTCGGCACTGAGACCAACACTGGTGAAGTCTATGGGACGGTTGACCTCCGAGAGGTTCCAGCTTCGTAGAAACAAGTAACTTAGCAAATCCAACTTCAACTCGAATCGTGAAGCCTTCTGTCCAAGCTTACCTGAGAACCCGGAGTGGTGGAACAGGGGAGGCTTCGTGTTGTTATCAATAAGTACCTAGGTATGTGTGCGTACTTTGAGTGGTGTGATCTTCCTACAGCTGGGCGCCAACTTGTTGTTAAGGCTCACTATCCGTTAAACGAGTTCGCAATACGACTCACACACATCAACTGGCCCCCATCAACTGGCCCCCATGTACGCGGGACCCGAGCCCCATCCATTAGAAAAGTCTAGGCACGACCAGTGCGACAACAGCAGAAAAGCTTTGTAACACAGCCGTGAGGAGGCTGTGAAGCCCCCAATACTACGTGATGAGATATTTTGAGGATGAAGCAAGGCTACCCGATGCCTGTATTGCACATTGACTTTGCCTTAACGCATTGAACGCACTGCTCATGGGGTCAAAGTGAAGCGATATGAAAAGAGAGCCTTCTTGACTACAGAGGAACAACGTCTTTAAACCGAACTTCTTGTTGTTCCCTATCACCTGAAATCACATCCACAAAGTCCGCGTCCTATTACCATGTCCGGGCTCTCTTCATCCAAGTCTACGTCACGACGCGCAAGCTTGCCATCAATGCACCACAGCTATCTGACTGCTGTGGAACAACATGTGTCAATAGACAGAGGTTCAAGGGAGACCACTCAAGATCAACCTCCTTTCAGAAGGCCCTTCCTTATGACAGCTCTCATATTGAGCCTTTCTTTGCTTGTGGCGTCGACAATCCACCTGGCCTTTCGTGCTAAGTCTTTGGGAGAGATCAGGGAGTGGATGTATGGCACTCATTATAGGTATAAGAGCGGCATCTTCCGATCGGTTCCGGGTAATTCCCAATACTACGGCGGCGGGCAAACCATGAGGTACGATCCGCAAAAAATGCTGCCTCTATATTACGAGTTGCACATCGCAAACGCAGTGATTGGTCTTATGGCTGCAATTACCGTCTCTTTGATTGCCATTCGTGCCTTTTTCCGAGGTCCTGTTCGGGTACGTACGTAGACCGGATGAAGATCGTGGTCGCAACTACCGTGGACGACGCCTGCTGACGACTCGACTTAGATGGTGAACTGGGTGCGACTTAGCCTGTCTCTCATGCTGGTGATCAGCGCCATCCTCGCATCAATGTCCATGGCATTTACGCTGGCCGACCTTGGGCAATCTTCCCACTTCGATCTTGATTACGCAAATTCTCTGCCATTTCCAGATGGGATATCATACGACAAAGGCCGCTTTGCAGCACAAATATGGGTGTGTGAAGTCATGGATATACCAAAGTTTGATGAGGAAGGGTGGTTGCATTCTGTCTGTAGGTTATCCCAAGGATCTACAGCTCTTGGGTGCATTCTATTTGGTTTACTGGTGTCCTTCTGTGTCATGATATGGTTGGACTGGAGGGGTGATAGATGCTTGGTAACGATTTGGGTGCATCGCCGGGCGAGCTGGCAGTCTGATTTTATCTAAACATCAGAAGTTCGTCTGAGTATCGTAGATTATACCATGTTGCGCATACGGGTGAGCCTGTTGAGTTTGTTTACTTGTAAGGGCCTCACATGTCGCGTGGGCGGATACGGTTCGGAGGAGTCGCACGGCGTGTCACGTCAGTCATCAAGTGCGTTGCAGCTAGACATAATATTGCAATAATCCGGCTTGTCGGACCATCCTTGTATAGAAACTCCGGTATGTTTCTTACTTAGGTTAGAGAATGACAAAAGCTGTAATCTAGAACTTTCGCCCGTTTCTTGAATACAAGTTATATGCTCCTGAGAACCAGACCTGACCAGTCACTTTGCTTTGAGTCATGTCTTTTGTGAATCTTTTCGACGTGCAATCACGATCAAGTGACTGCATCTGAGCTTTGGGTTCCAGTTTCTACTGCAAGAGAATTGCGCATCAATATTCCCGACTTCCGATGATAGCTTGACACTACTTGAATCTCGTCAGCCAGTGGTATCTTTGCTGTGCACGGGCAAATTCAGAAGCCCCTAGAAGCATCCAAGCTGACTCTCTGAGGTCACTGGTGTCTATCAGTGACACTAATTATGACATGCAGCGTGGCGCTTAAGTACAGTGCGCCCTTGGATGACATGACTTTGACATTCCCCACCAGACCCCCGAGGCCAGGACCACGCTCACCGCTGATCAAGAGGGAAGCCCCCTTCCGCAAGAGATGAGATGATTCAGTTGGCGACGATTGAAGGGTTCGCAATCAGATATCAACTATTACAGTCTCTAAGTCACTGCACTGTCTTTGAGAACTCAAGAAACCAGTACGCGCCCAGTCCGCAGCACATTGTGGATTCGCCCAAGATGGTCTCAACCAACGGCTTCAGTGCTCTTAATTCTATTACAATCCGAAACCATCGCCCGGGCGACATGGGCTACATCACCCACCGACACGGCGCAATATACTCCACAGAATACAACTACGGCGCGTTGTTCGAGGCCATGGTCAGCCAAATCACAGCAGACTTCCTCCTCAAGTTTGACCCAGCGAAAGAACGATGCTGGATCGCAGAGAGGGACGACAAGTTTTTGGGCTCCATCATGCTCATCAAGGACCGCGAGACAGCAGGCAGAGCGAAGCTGAGATGCTTCCTTGTAGAAAAAGAAGCAAGAGGTTCCGGCTTGGGAACAGAGCTGATACGGCTTTGTGTCGACTTTGCGAGGGAGGTCGGCTTCGAGAGCATTGGCTTGTCAACAGATAACCACCTGATCGGGGCGCGGCGGTTGTATGCCAAGGCCGGATTCGAGTTGAAAGCTACCGAGGAACATCAAGCCTGGGGAGAGAAGCGAATGGGAGAGACTTGGGAGCTTCAGCTGAAATAGCTGGAAACACACCTTTCAATGATTATTGTTCATTTAACGCCGGAGAGCCACCCCAGTTGATCTCTGTAATCTTTCCCACGCCTCTCTTTTGTCGCCAGTAGTTGGTAGCAACGAGCACTTCGGGACAGCCCTGCACTAGCCCGCCCCATCTCCTGAAGAATTCGGGACCCAGCTCCCAACCATTCAGGTCCCAAGCGTCTCCCCATATGACGAGCGATGACTTGGAGGGCGAGTCCAGGTCCAAGAGGTCGCAGACTAACGTGTTGCACAGCTCATCTTCGTCTATCTCGCCTGCTTGAACACCATGAAGTATATTATCCCTCATCTTCGGTATTGGGAATAGGTCTAGCCATGGATGATGCTTGACAGTCCTTTGCAGCGCCGTTGGTGAGAGATGAGGCGGCAGGACCTTGCTGGATCGAGGCCGCGCGGGGCCTTGATAGATGAAGAGAGATTCGCCATCGTCGCTCTCGATCAATTCTACCGGAATGCCTAGTACCAGCGCATTTCTTGCTAGCGCGTCGAACGCGTTGAGTCTCGTGAGAGCCGGAAGGTCTCGCGGGGTGGGGGGCAAGAGGCTCCAGTTCGAAGAGGCTCTTTGAAGGAACTCGGCGACATTTTCGCGTATGCCCGCGCATCTGAGCAAATAGTAAATCCCAAACATCTCTTGCATTTGCGATAGAGTCATGGGTCTGCTTGCGGTAAGCGATGCAGCCGGGACGAGGGACATCTCGGCTTGGGGTTCTGCTGCAGCTGAGGCTCTAGTACTGTTAAGGGCAATGCGCTTCAGGTGTCTCTTCTGCCTTGGTTGGATTGTAAAGTAAGCCTTCTTCGCCAAAGAGATAGCACGTTTGACACCCGAGTTGAGGAATGGACCTACTGTAGGCTCTTTGATGGACCCGATTCTGCCGTCTTCGTCTTTCGGCGGCGCTCGCCACGCCCGTCCAATCATCTTCATCATCCAGTGACTCTACCTGCCGCGGCTCCATTCCGAAACTGGTATTTTCGATATCTTGCGCATTGATTATCGAGCATGCTGTGGACGATGTTCTTTCAGAATTGTGTTCCCATGGGGAATTAATAGTTTGCTTACTCCCTTGTTAGCGGGGATGAACCTACTACACCCAGAGGCCCAGTGGGACGTGCTGTGTCGCAGAAATAGATTGCTTACTCCCCTGTCGACGGGGCTTGAATGGAGAGCTTGCCATTCGCCCATGTTCGGAGTTGGGGGCAAAAGAGGAATCTCTAGACTTATTCTAGGCTTGTTCGAGGTTGGTTCGTTCGGTCGACGACCAACCGGAAAGAATCCTTTGAGCTTTTGCTATTGAAAGCCAAAGACCTCACGAGTCATCCACCACGGGCTGGACGCAACGAAACGGGGGGTTCGCCGCCATACTTTTGTTATACTGTCGATCGCTGCGCATTACCAACTGGCGATCTCCGCACAATGACCTGTGGTGATTTTCTCGACAGAAACCCCGCCAACTGTTGAAAGTCCGCAAGCCATGACAAACTCTTCGCGTCTGACGTACCTTCGAAAGTAGGAAGTCTATCGCCAGTTGAAGTCCAAACTTCAAGCAAGGGGCAGAGCCCACGATTCCTCCGTTGCGTGTTAGTAAATAGACGGAAGAGCCGTTTGCAGTGGCCCGTCCATCTTCCGAATTCCCTTTTTTGTCGTCAAAGTTCTAACAGATTCGAATCACCCTGAAGCTTGAGTCGTTCTGAACTAGAGTCTTCTCTCCCTGGAGGCTTGTCTAACTCTCATGTTTGATATCCCAAGGGTGACTCCATGAACTTAGGAGCTGACAGCATCCGCTATGACATGGCCGGTGAATGAATGCTCCAAGTCGTAGGTCACCGCTCACCCGTCATTGTAAGTAAGATAAGGCGCCCAAGGTAGCTGAATGAGGGCATGATGATGTCCAAGTCAGAAGAACCAAAGATCTGTCGAGACGTCACGAGATCCAATGGAAGGGGAGGTTGTCCCGGCCTAAACAGACGCCGAGCTCCCGGCTACGTACCTAAGTAGGTACCTTAGCTACCTCCCTCCTTCCACGACGGCCCGGTACAAGTACCTTACCCTAGGTGTGAATCTACGTACAGTGAGGTATCTACCCACTCCCATTGAAAGGAAGGAGCGCTAGCCAATTCAAAGTCCAGACTGGACCTGCCCGACAGGGGTGTAAGCAACCAGGAAGTCGCGAGTTGGCTCATTGGGGACGCCAAAGCCCCGGACAACATTTACGGTCGACAAATTGAGAGTCGAGACTAGAATGAACTGCACGAAAGTCCAGTACGCTCTGTTTTCTTGTTCCCTGTGGTTCCGAATCTCCCTCTTTTCAATGGTTTGCTTACGCCCCAGATGGGCTCGTTTGACTGGCGTATCAAGCATTGTGCCCTCGGGCTCATTGATGCTCCCGCGTGGCACCTTCAGCCGCCCACCAGGCTTCTCTTCTTCACATCCGACTTTTTCACTAACCAGAGTATTAAATCGCCTGTTTCCTTCTTGTCAGTATCTGAACTTTTGCTTACACCAGTAGTCCCTTCACCTGCTACGTTCCAACCCCTATACTCGAACCATCTGCACGCCCCGCTCCAAGATGCCCGCGTTCACCGCCGACGACATCCCTGATCTTTGCGATCAGGTGATTATTGTGACTGGAGGAAACGTTGGTCTTGGGTTCGAGACGATACGGCAGCTCAGCAAACACAACCCAGCTCGAATCTACCTTGCAGCCAGATCCCGAGACAAAGCCGAAAAGGCTATCCAAGACCTCCAACAGCAGAACTCTGAGACAACAAACATCACTTTTCTCGAACTTGACCTAGCATCTTTTGATAGTGTCAAGGCTGCCGCGGCCGATTTCCTTCGAAAAGAGTCTAGGTTGGATATACTCGTCAACAACGCTGGTATCATGATGAACCCCGAGGGCCTATCAAAGGAAGGATATGAGATCCAGTTTGGAACGAACGTGATGGGTCCGGCGCTCTTTACCCAGCTTCTGCTACCGGTCATACGGGCAACGGCCAAGACAAACCGCGAGACACGTGTCGTAGATGTCGTTCGGGGCTCGGGCATGAGCAGCTGAGGACAGCATGACAACTTCGAAGAAATCCGAACAACCATGCCCAACCGAGCTACGACCCAACGATACACTATGTCGAAGCTTGCCGATCTCCATTACGCCAAGGCTTTGGCAGAGCGAGAGCAACACGTCAAGGTTATTCCTGTCCATCCGGGGATGGTTGCCACCAACCTTCACCATGCTTCCACCGGCATGTTTCTCAAACCCTTCCTGAACGCAGCCATATTCTTTGCTACACCTGTGGAAAAGAGTGCTTTATCGCAGATCTGGGCAGCTGTGAGCCCTGACGCAAAGAGCGGGCAATACTACGGTCCTACTGCTAAGGCTGAATCTGGTTCGAAACTCAGCCAGGACCGCAAACTTCAGGAGAGCATTTTTGGATGGATTCAGAAGGAACTCAAAGAATACGTGGAAACCATTGAATAATTGGTACACTAGTGTGTGCGTGCGAGATCGTCAGGTGGTAGCTGATATCGTACCCGACGACTGTTGCGGCCAAGCGAGGTCTTTAACCATATCCGACTTGGGTGGGCGGGTGGAGGAAAGTCCTGTTACATTCGCCTTTGAGGGCCCAAATACATGTAATGAACCTGGGTGATGAATCAAAAGCGGATTCTAGAGGCTTGATATGCTGCATGCAAAACTCGGCCAACTGGTAGCAAGTGATGGTCGTCTGGGCCCGTTGACCTGCATTACCCCAGATCCCCGAACCGAACCGAACCGAGCCAAATGATGGTCGCAAGGAACGACAAGAACCGTTTGAAGGAAGTGATTGCCAATGATTTTCCAGCAACAGTGTCATTGTATATCCCATGAACAGTCTGCACTGTTTCATTCTACTCCAGCCCTGAGACAGGAATACCAGGGCGTCAATCGCTTTAGTAGGCTCACCATGGGAGAATCCTCCGCAGCAATGTCGCCCGAAAAGCCCCAAGAGACGAACTCACAACAGGATGATGACACTCAGAGTGCTCTGGATCGGGTCACCACAACCGCATCTTATGTTCCCCCTGACATGAGCCCGATCCGTCGCCGCGCCGTCATGTGCGCCCTCTGCTTAACACTCCTACTCAGCGCGCTAGATATCACCATCATCGCCACGGCCTTGCCCACCATCGCATCAACTCTTCAAGCTACAGCCTCAGAGTACGCATGGGTGGGAAGCGCGTACACTTTATCCAGCACGGCATCCACACCGGTATGGGCTAAGATGTCCGACATATTCGGCCGGAAGCCCACGATCATGACCGCAGCGGCGACGTTCATGGCGGGAAGCTTGATCGCGGCCTTGGCTGGGAACATTCAAGTTCTCATCGCTGGGAGGACGGTCCAAGGGCTTGGGGGAGGTGGATCGTCGGTCCTGGTCACGATTGTGATTGGCGATATCTTCAAGTTGGAGGATCGGGCCAAGTATTATGGCATGACTGGCATCGTCTACGGGATTGCGAGTGCTGTCGGCCCGGTACTCGGAGGTGTCTTTACACAGACGATCGGATGGAGATGGTGCTGTGAGAAGGAACCCCGAAAATCCCACACGGGACGGCATTGAACTGACGTTTGATAGTCTTCATCAACTTGCCGTTTGACGGCGTTGCCCTGGTGGTGTTATTCTTCACCCTCAAGGTTGAAACCCCCAAAGAGCCATTGATTCCCGGACTTCAGGACCTCGACTGGATCGGTTTCCTTCTCATCATAGGTGGCACAATCTGCTTCCTCTACGGCCTCGAAACAGGTGCTGGCGGCGTCGTCCCCTGGAGCTCTGCTTTGGTGATCTGCCTCATCCTATTCGGTGTCCTCATCCTGGCACTTTTCGTCGTATGGGAAGCTTGCTTCGCCAAGAACCCCGTCATTCCATTCCGAATCTTCCAAAACGTCACCAACATTGCCTCTTTCACCCTTGCCTGCATACACAGCTTCGTATTCATATCGTACGACTACTTTCTCCCGCTTTACTTCCAAGTCGTCTTCGGTTTTAAACCGATTACTGCTGGAATTATGCTGTTTCCTCTGCTTATCCCGCTCACGGTGATGACGATGCTCGGGGGGCTGTTCACCCGGAAAACAGGCAATTACATCATTCCCATCTTCTTCGGCTCAGCACTCATGACTCTCGGGAATGGCCTGTTCATCAGCTTCGGCGTCAGCACGGAGTGGGCTAAGATTGTGGTTTTCCAAATGATCACTGGGTTCGGTGCCGGCGTACTCTTCCAGAGTCCCATGATCTCAATTCAGACTCACACGAAGCAGAAGGACATGGCGGCTGCCATGTCGGCCTTCAGTTTTGTGAGGTCTCTCTTTTCTTCCATGTCCATTGTCATCGGGACGGTGTTGTTGCAGCATAATCTTGGCGGGGGAGAGCTGACGACGGGGAAACTTGGTTCTGAAGATGGGAACAATGGGTCGCCTGGGGCAAGCAAGACTAGCTATATGTCTGCGTTGCGTGTGATGTGGGCATTCTATACTGGCGTTTCTGGGTGTATGTTTCTGGCTGCCATCTTTATCAAGCCGAAGCCGGAAGAGTCATCTCAGCGTGACGCAAGCTGAAAGAAATGTCTCGAGCTAAATCACGTACTTTGAAGAGAGCATTCGATAGCACGGCCGAGTGCCTCGGCATTGGAGACAGTTTCAGGAACACATGCGTGGCCTCTAGAGCTGGCCGATCGGACTGGAATATCACTAGTTCACGATAATTAAGAATCGTAGAGGACACAGAGTGCGGGCAAAAGAATATATGAGGTATAAAGTAGATACAAGAATAACCGCCAACACCTTAAATCCTTAACATAGAAACAGTTGGGTTAGTGCGGGTAGCACTTTAGTACTTCTTCAAGTCGAAGCGGTCAAGGTTCATGACCTTGTCCCACGCAGCGACGAAGTCCTTGACGAACTTCTCGTTGGCGTCGGAGCTGGCGTAGACCTCAGAGATGGCACGGAGCTCGGCGTGGGATCCGAACACGAGATCGGCACGGGTGGCGGTCCACTTCTCGGCCTTGGTCTTGCGGTCAACACCGGTCCAGGTCTCGCCCTCGGTATCGGTCTTGGACCAGACGGTGGAGATATCGAGCAGGTTGATGAACCAGTCGTTGGTCAGCTGGCCCTTCTTGGCGGTAAGAACACCGGTGTTGGACTGGTCGAAGGTGGCGCCGAGGGCGCGGAGACCACCGACGAGGACGGTCAGCTCGGGGGCGGAGAGGGTGAGCTGGGAGGCCTTGTCGACGAGGATCTCCTCAGTGCGAGCGCGGGCGGTACCCTTGCCGTAGTTGCGGAAGCCGTCGGCCTGGGGCTCGAGGTAGCTGAAAGCGCGGACGTCGGTCTGCTCCTGGGTGGCGTCGACACGGCCGGCGGTGAAGGGGACGGTGACGGCGACACCAGCGTCAGAAGCGGCCTTCTCGACGGCGGCGACACCCCCGAGAACGATCAAGTCGGCGAGGGAGACCTTCTTGGCACCGGTGTTGAAGCTGGTCTGGATCTTCTTAAGGGCGTCGATAACCTCGGTGAGGACGGTAGGGTTGTTGGAAACCCACTTGTTCTGGGGCTCGAGGGCGATGCGGGCACCGTTGGCACCACCACGCTTGTCGGAGTGACGGAAGGTAGAGGCGGAGGCCCAGGCGACGGAGGCGAGCTTGGAAACGTCGAGACCGGCGGTGCCAAGAATGTCAGACTTGAGCTTGGTCACATCGGCATCGTCAATGAGCTCACCCTCCCTAGCGGGAAGGGGATCCTGCCAGCCGAAAGTCTCCTTGGGGATCTCGGGACCGAGGTAGCGGGCGACGGGACCCAAGTCACGGTGAAGAAGCTTGAACCAAGCCTTGGCGAAGGCATCGGCGAGCTCCTGGGGGTGATCGAGCCAGCGGGTGGTGATGTTGAGGTAGGACGGGTCATTGATGAGAGCCAAGTCGCTGGTGAGCATGGTGGCCTTGCGGAACTTGGTAGCGTCAAAGGGGTCGGGGTAGTCGAGAGTGCCGTTGACAGCCTCCCATTGGTGAGCGCCGGCAGGGCTGGTGACGAGGGTCCATTTGTTGTGAATGAGAGACTCCAAGTAGCCGTTGCTCCATCTGCAGGTACAAGGATTAGCGTCGGTGTGTCACTGCATAATCACCCGGTGTGGTTGATGTATAAATAGCTTTTCTTGGCCTCGTCGTTTGTCGCCTCATCATTTCTCTCATGGCCTTCTCTCTCTCTCTTTCGAGGGCGAAGATTCGGCTAATGAGAGATAAAAGAGGCCTCAAGAGTGAGAAGAGGGGAAATGAGAACGGCTGGAGTGCCAAGAATGGGGGGGCCGCAAATGCAAACGGAAATAGACTCATCACAATCATCACTTACTTGGTAGGGGTCTTGGTCCAGACAACCTCAAGACCACTGGTCATCTGGTTGACACCGTTGCCATCACCGACGCTGTTGTGCCATCCGAGACCCATCTCGCCAAGGTCAGCGGCCTCGGGCTCACCTCCAATGTTGCCTATGAGAGACGCGGATTAGCATCTGCATGTTCCAAAAATGGCGGTGAAAATCGTGTTCCCGGGGGTAACCCGGAGCTCTCTCCGGAGGCGCTCAATTCTCGCCCGTTCGTCCGACTTGAACCGGGATCGTGAAGATGGGGGGCGTGAATGATGTGCAACTCACTTGCAGGCACGGCACCGTGCGTCTTGCCAAAGGCGTGTCCACCGGCGATCAGAGCGACGGTCTCCTCATCGTTCATTCCCATGCGATCGAAAGCGACGCGGATGTCCTTGGCCGAAGCGGCGGGGTCGGAGCTGGCATCGGGGCCCTCCGGGTTGACGTAGATGAGACCCATGTGGGTGGCACCCAGGGGCTTCTCGAGCTTGTCGGCGCGCTCGTTGATGTCGGTGCTGCCATTGTAGCGGACATCGTTACCCTTGGGGACGAAGGTCGTCTCTCCACCCCAGTAGACGGACTCATCGGATTGCCAAGTATCGGGACGGCCAGCGGCGAAGCCAAGAGGGGTGAAGCCCATGGACTCAAGGGCAACGTTGCCGGTGAGGAGGTACAAGTCGGCCCATGAGATCTTGTTGCCGTACTTTTGCTTGATAGGCCCTGTAAAAAGTGAAAGAGTTAGGATTAGCAAACGTTTCTTCTCTCTCTATCTCTCAAGGGGCCCACAACATCGCTCTACTCGCACCATCGAGCCACGGCAAAGTGGATATCGCTACCGAGTCGATGATGCAAGTCGAACATGGGTGGGCCGAATCGCAAAAGAGCGCATAAGGATTGGAAATCTTACACAGCAGGCGGCGAGCCTTGTCGAGGTTCTGGTTGTCAGGCCAGCTGTTAAGCGGAGCGAAACGTTGTTGGCCCTGCAGGAGTCCAATATTAGTAAACGCCAGTCCTCAAGAAGAATTAAACTGATGCAGAGATGTGATAAGATGCAAACAGCCCAGGTCCATATTTCGTGACGCGGTGCGGGT